TTGTCCTCCACAGAGGGCTGCCCTTCTGGACTGGGGTGTTAATATGGTCCTTCATTCCCCCACTTTGCCTCCATTTGAACCATTTTCAATGTGCTCCTTGTTTCACCTTTTGCTTAAAGATTTATTTCCTTCTCCTATTAGCCTTTATTATGCTACATTTCTTCTCCCTTATCTGGATCGTGCTTTTCTCCCAAAAACCTTGGCTGCTAGGGAGAGTACTCCTCCTTTTTGTAGATTTCTCTTCCTTCCATTTCCCACCTTTATCCTTAACCTGATCTGGATAGACTTCTATATACTGTATGTGCTTTTCATTGTTATATTGCCCACACAGCTTCCATCTGTTGTAACCATTCCTGTGTATTTATTCCTTGGAAACCATCCTCTCCTTCCACCCTCACCAGTTGGGTTTGGCTTTTGATTCGATTGGATTATTCCTCTCTTTCATCATCCTCCCATACTTTGTTCTGGGTGTCTTCTCATCAAATGAGACACCTTCCCTTTTCTCTGGCTTCTCATCTTCATTGTCCGTTGGAGGAAATTCTTCAGTTGGGCATGTGGACTTCAACTAATACATTCATCTCTCATATTTGCATAGGATCAATGTTTCTTCCTCTTCAGGGTATTGGCTTCCGTGGCCATTCTTCAGACTTTCATGTGGCTATAAGACAGGGTAAGTTATATTTATTCTTTATAAAGTTTTTAGGGGCCTTATTTCCCTTTTCATCATAATTCTCATTGTTTGGATCCTGATCCATGGTGGGTTTTGCCTGATCAGGTATTCTTTAACCTTTAAAATCTGCACTGTTCGGCCATGTCAATATGCTTAATGTGTTCCATGGCCACCCAATGTTGAGATAGGGTGTTCCACAAGATGGCTTGAGGGTTATCCATGAGATGAAATTGCTTCATAAGTATGTCAGTCCCGGACCATACCACCCATGGACTACATTGGTAAAGCAGAAGGGGATAGCTGCTCATCCTTGCTATGCCTTATATTGAATAAATCGGTAAGGTCTGCTTTTCAAAATAGGGTTTTGTGGTCACCCTTGTCACTGTTTCAGGTGTTGACATTCCTCTGGACTCTCCACCACTAGTCCTTACCACTTTCCAGTTCCAAGCTGCTGGGGTAATGGACCATGGAGGGGTCCTCCTGTATGGTTTAATGACATAAAATATCAATACACAAATACAATTCAGTGCAGAGTAGGGTGGTGTGTTCTGCTGGTGTAGATAACGTGATATCCTCCGCTATAATGCATATGTAAATCAAAGGAGTAAGATGTCAAATTGCAGTTCATCACTTCGATTGGAATCCCTCATCCTACCCCAATGTGTAAATCGGTTCTCACTGGCCGGGTTTTGGATTGAGAGTAGAACCAATCAACATATGTATTATGGATGTCTATTTTCCTCCCTCAGTTAAATTCCATCTGTGTTGTGGGTCATGGTAGCGGTACTTGGGATTATTGTGGTTCTTTCCCTTCTGCTCTCCCTTGATGTATCTTATTCCAAGGGCGTTATTGCACCTGGGTTGGTTCTGGTCAGTTTCAATGTTGAGGGGGGGTCAGTTTTTCTCTGGTAGACATCTTTTCAATTATGGATGTTGGGTCCATATATCATTTTCTATTCTT